AAAATCTTCCCACACTTCTACTATCCCTATTAAATACCATAGTCTCTCTTGGTTTCAGTAATCTCAGTATTCTCTTGACTGGTTTCTTCTCTTCCTCATTTTCCAATGTATTTACCATGCTGTTAAATTGTGATTCTAATTATGTTCTTCACGTTCCCAGAGCCTTCAATATTTTTTCATTGCCTACAGGAGAAGTCCAATGATCTTACCAATCATTCAATAATGCAAATTTTCTTTTCCAATTTATTCACTGCTATTTAATTTCACAAACCATATACTACTTGCTGTATCTTCTCCCTCTATCTGGAATGCTCCTCTCCCAACTTTAGACATAAACATTTTACAAAATCTTCAGAATAAAGAGTTAATGGCAAATAATACCTCCACTAGAAAACCTTTCCCAGCAGCTATACGTAATCTTTACATGCTCTGATAAAAATCTTTGGTCTATACTGTTTTGGAAGTAATATTTTCAACTGAATTATACATATTCATGCCAAATTTTCTGGGCTTTAAACTTCTTGAGTGTTTTTTCCATTTCTAATTAACTGTATTGTTCACATTTCCATTTGTCTTGAAAAATAAATTGTTCTCTCCTACTGAAAATAAAAATCAATAGTTTGCATTTGTTTACTTAGTAAAATCTGTATTCCTCCACATGGAGTCCAAGTCTTTTCAGTTTCCACTTTCACCATTGTCATGGATTGAATTGTGTCTCCCAAAAATATCTGTCAACTTGGCTGGGTCATGATTCCCAGTATTGTATGATTGTCTACCATTTTAGCACCTAATGTGATTTCCTTAAGTGTTGTAAATCCTATCACTATGATATAATAAGATGGATTAGTGGCAGTTACATTGATGAGGTCTACAAGATTAGGTAGTGTCTTAAGCCAATCTCTTTTGAGATATAAAAGAGAGAAGCAAGCAGAGAGACAGGGACATCATACCACCAAGAAGGCAGTGCTGGGAGCAGAGCGTATCCTTTGGACCTGAGGTTCCTGCACTGAGATGCTCCCAGACCAAGGGAAGACTGATGACAAGGACCCTCCTCCAGAGCCAAGGACAGAAAGCCTTCCTGTGGAGCTGACGCCCTGAATTTGGACTTGTAGCCTGGTGGATTGTGAGAGAATAAACTTGTCTTTGTTAAAGCCATCCACTTGTGGTATTTCTGTTACAGCAGCACTAGATGCCCAAGACAGAGTTTGGTACCAAGAGTGGGGTGCTGCTCTAACAGATACCTAAAATGTAGAAGCAGTTTTGAAACTGTAAATGGATAGAGGAGTGGCAGCGGCAGAGGACCAGCAGCAGCAGAGAATCTGCAGCGTCAGAGAAGCGACAGTGGCAGAGAACCGGCAGCAGCAGAACCAGGAGACCAGTGCCAGACAGTGCTGGAGCCTACCCACAGAGTGAGAGAGCTAAGTGCCTGTGCGCAGGAGGCTTCTTGGCAGAGTAGGGTGCCTCTGAGCACTTACCAGTGGAGCTACAGAGCTTTTGAGCTTTGGAACACTTGCCCAGGCAGGGCAGATGTGGACATGAGGCCCGAGGAGCCGAGAGGCCAAGAAACCAGGAAGCAGAAGCTGAAGAGACAAGAAACACAAGAATCCCAGCTGCCTCAGTCTCAAAAGGTATGGTCAGGACCTCGGGTTTCAAAGGGTGGAGCCTCGGCTTCTGGTGTTTCTAAGGGTGGAGTTGCCACTCAGACGGACTAGGAGAATGGTGCGCCTAAAGCTGAGGGAGCAGAGTTGCCACCCTCGTGGGCCTGGAAGGTGGAGCTGAAGTCCAGGGCCCAGGGGCCTCCACTCGGAATCTGGAGAGTGTGGCCAATACCTAGAGTCTGGAGGGCAGGGCTATTGTGTATATGGTCTCAGAGAACAGAGGATTATTTGCAAAGTCTTGAGGGCTAATGTAATGTGTCCTGCTGACTTGCTTGGTGCCTGTTATGCCCTCTTTTCCTCCAGTTTCTCTCATTTGTAATGAAAATGTCTAGCTTGTGCCTGTTCTGCCATTGTACTTTGGAAGCACATAACTTGTATTCTAGATTTCACAGATGAAGAGGAATTTTTTTTTTTTATTTTGGGCTTGAAGTTAAGACTTTTGCTATGATATGATGGGGTGGATATGTTTTGCATGTTGCAAGGACATGAAATTTTGGGGGCTAATGGGTGGAATGTCATGGATGAAATTGTATCCCCCCAAAATATCTGTCAGTTTGACTAGGTCATGATTCCCAGTATTGTATGATTGTCTACCATTTTATCATCTAATGTGATTTCCCTATGTGTTGTAAACTCTATCACTATGATGTAATAAGATGGATTAGTGGCAGTTATATTGATGAGGTCTACAAGATGAGGTAGTGTCTTAAGCCAAAATCTTTTGAGATGTAAAAGAGAGAAGCAAGCAGAGAGACAGGGGGACATCATACCACCAAGAAGGCAGTGCTGGGAGCAGAGTGTGTCCTTTGGACCTGAGGTTCCTTCACTGAGATGCTCCCAGACCAAGGGAAGACAGATGACAAGGACCTTCCTCCAGACCCAAGGACAGAAAGCCTTCCCCTGGAGCTGACGCCCTGAATTTGGACTTGGAGCCTACTGGACTGTGAGAGAATAAACTTCTCTTTGTTAAAGCCATCCACTTGTGATATTTCTGTTATAGCAGCACTAGATGACTAAGACAACCATCACCACCACCACCGTGTACCGTATTCTCCTGCAACAACAGGACGCTTATTATTTCTCCCAAACATATCACACACTCATACCTTCCAGCTATCACTCTTTATTCTTTAGACTTGACTGGTCATCCCTGAACTGTACTCCTATTATTCTCTGAACCTCAAGACTGCATTAGATGCCTGCCTCACCTGAGCCACCCTATAGTGATCTGTGCATTTCATTTAACACACTGTATTTAAATTCATTTGGTTTGTTGACCTGCCTCTCTGCTTATGAATGGATTATGCTTTATCTCTGAATTTTTGGTGCCAGAATATCTGGCAAAGAGTAGATGCTTGCTAAATGTGTGTTGAAAGAATGAATAACTGCATACTGGTCACTATTAGTTCTACTTATTCTTTAAGATATACCCCAAATGCCACCTCCCTATGAGGTCCATCAGGATTCCCCTGTTGGAAGTGATCCCTTCCCCTGCTTAAGTCACATTCCTCCTTTAACTTTTTTCGTGAAATGTTTCACGTTACATTTTCTTAGTTCATTATTTATGTATGTGTCTACCACCCTCACTAAGCTCCAAAGCTACCTCCTCCAGAAAGCTTTCCTTGTCACCCACCAGCTAGGTTAAACTTGCCACCCCACCTCTCATAGCTCCTAATGCACTTGTGACATTATATTGAAATTATTTATCGTATTTAAATTCCAGTCCCTTATGTGGAAACTCTTAGAGCCTACAGGGGAAGATAGTCTGATTACCATCTTAACTCCCGTGCCCAGAAAAGTACTGGATGCAGCTCTTTACATATGTTAGACTTAACTTGAACTCCATAATAGCAAGAACAGTAGTTTATATTTTTGTATACTCCCAGGGCTTGGTCTAGGGCTATAAACATAGTCCCACGCACTGCTGTCTAGTCTGTTCTGACTCACAGTGACCCCATAGGGTTTCCAAGGCAGTAAATCTCTACAGAAGCAGATTGCCACATCTTTCTCCTTTGAAGCCACTGGAGGTTCGAACCACTGAGCTTTTGGTTACCAGTCAATTGCTTTAACCACTGAGCAGCCAGGGCTCCCTATAAACATAGTAGGTAGTGAATATTTATAAATGAATGGATTACTTAATATAGCTAGATCAATGATATAAATTCTGTTTTATCTTTTTAAGTAAATGAAACTCTATAGACTATTCACAAGTTTTATTATTTATTTTGTATTCTGTGATTTCGACAACAGTTATTCTGTGTGGCTGGCTCAATATAAAACAAACAGATATTAGTCTTTAATTTTATATTTGAACTTAAATGAATATAGTAATAAAATGCCTCGAAACCCTGGGCATGGTTGTTTTATCCTCTTCTGCTTTTAGTTCTAAAACTAATATTACAGACAGAGGGAGGTGGCATCTAGGATGAATGATTCACATATTTACCTGGCTGCCAAAAATTGGGATCATGGAATTATTTTTAACCCTCGGCAAGATTTATAAATTGAAAATGTCATTGTAAATATGCAAATATTATGTAAATGCTTTTACTGATTAGGATAACTCCAAGAAGCCTAATTATGTTCCTGGCCTACCCATCTGTGAGAGCTGCCAATCAGCAAACTGGTTATCATATTTAGATTAAAAGCTACTTTGCAGGGATAATACCTGTAATAGAACCGAGAAGCTCAAGAACTGCTAAATGCTAATATCAAGTGATCTAGTGAAAAATTTTTGAGAAAGTTGTCTTTGTTTAAATACACAGCAATTTCATGCAGATTATAAGTAAAAAACCACACTTTTATCTGAGTCCTGGGGATACATTTTAAAATGTACCCCATCTGCACAAATTGGAAATTAAATATTCAAAGTATCAGTGGAAATTTAGGGGTGCCACTTTGGATTTAATGTATCTTTGAAATTATAAAACTTTCTAAAATTCAGTTTTATCATTGAAATACCAAAATTAAAAATGAGGTCTCAGTATTTGTGGTTCTTCATAAGAATTCATGCCTAGAACTCTTTTTATTTCTCTCTTCAGAGGAAAACAACTGAGAAATATGCCTTTGTCTTCACAGTTTTATATTTACTGTAGGTGTCCTGTACTGGTTCTTCTCCCCTTACTTCTCCCTTCTATTCTTGCTTTCCTTAAAAAAAATTATCCTGTCAGCATTATATGTTCTTTATTTGGTAGGCTAAGGTTTTATATCAATGGAATGGTCTATGTGTTTTTAATGAAAGTTACTAATGGAAAACAAAGAGTGTTCTTCCTAAAATATGAATTGCTTGCCATCTGGTATAACTATATCATTGATGTGCTTATTTTCTTTATTTTTTTAAAGGAAGTGCAACAATATCTAGCTAACCTGGCCGAACAGTGCAGTGCTGATAATAATGGTGTGGAGCTCCCAGTTGTAATAATTCTTGATAATCTTCATCATGTGGGCTCTTTGAGTGATATCTTCAATGGTTTTCTCAACTGTAAATATAACAAATGGTATGCTTATCAAATTTTTGGATGATGAAATATGAAAAATCGTGATCATATTTGCTTTTTAGACCTATAATGGATGCCATTAATTTGAGAAACCCTCATTAATATTATAGCATAGCACCAAGGAATCCTTATAGATTCCTTAGAGCATTTATCTACTTATTCAACAACTGTGTCCCAGGCACTTTTATGGAGGCTGGCAACATTATTTCTTTAATGATGTTAGCTTCTACAGATATGCTGAAAGTCTGGAGGATGCAAACATCAAGGAATAGTTTGAATCAGGGAGATGAAGAACTAGAAGGAGCCTCTCAAGCTCTGGTTACATTTTCAATCCATATCAAAGTTGAAATTCAGCCTTCCTATAAGGATAAATTTAATAAATTCATATATAACTCCCTCCATTAATGGGCCTGATTTATATGCATTTACTATGAAAGAAAAGGTTAAAGTAGGATATAATAATCTGAAAACTTATTAGCAATTGATTGTAGTATGTCCCCTAAAGAAAGGATATATAAGAACATCAACATAAATGATATTATTTATAATACTGCCGAGTATCCTAATCAAGTAATCTCTGCTATAGATACCAACCTTTAAAAACAAATCAGCATAAAATAAGGGTTGAAGCAAGAATACAAATTCTCTAATGTTAGTTAGAACCTTTAAAAATAACTATAAAGTATTAAGCTAGAAAAATTAATGAAGTTGATTAGAATCATAAGTTATAAGATATTAGAGTGGGATGAGACTGTCGTGATTATTCTAAGTTCTTCATTTTAGGTGGGTAAACTTGTCCCCAGAGAGGAGAAATGACTTGTCTAGGATGCCAGAGCTGATATTAGAACCCCAAATCTTAATTTCAAGCTCAATGATATTTGTCATTTTCCAACCTCAAATTACAAAGTTATTGTTTTAATACCCAATATCAAAATGGAATAATTCATATTTATATAAATTATTTTCTCAGATAGTTTTAATAGATTAATCTTTTATTCTTAATATATCTAAATTTCCTTTCCTTTTTTTTTTTTTTCCTTCTAGTCCCTATATAATTGGAACAATGAATCAGGGAGTTTCTTCATCACCAAATCTAGAGCTGCATCACAATTTCAGGTAAAGATGAATTGTGTGTCTGTGTGTGTGTGTGTGTGTGTGTGTTGGGGTGTTTTTTTTTTTTTAAGTGTCACTTTCTGTTTATTTTGATTGGTTGGTTTTTTTTTTTTCTGTTTGTAAGTTGGCAGATTTTGACAGTGGTGACCTGTGGTGTGCAAATAAAAAAATTCTTCAGACACTCTTTCTCAAGCAGACATTTTGTGATCTATCCCCTCCTTGTAATCAGAAGTGTTCCTTTAAAATAAAATAAAAGGGTTTTTCCTGCTCACTCTGTCACAAGCTAAAGTAGAGCACTTTTCTTCTAAGTGTGAGGAATGTGAAGAGAGTTCCTATTTCAGGATTTGTGATTCTTCTACAGAAGAGTGCTCAGCGTGCATCCTCCCACTCACCTCTGACGCACATGAGCTTCTCTTTAGCTCAGAAAAGAAGAGTTCTTTCAGTTAAAGCTCTAATGCTAATAAACTTCTCAATCCCTTTCATCGTAAGAATGTGCCATCAATTGAAATAGGAAAATAGCTACTTTATATTGGACAGGGAATCACTATGGACTTAAAATTTAATTTATATAAAACATCTGATTTTTTTTTTTCTAGGTGGGTACTATGTGCAAATCACACAGAACCCGTGAAAGGCTTTCTAGGCAGATATCTTCGAAGGAAATTGATAGAGGTAGAAATTGAAAGGAACATACGCAATAATGACCTAGTCAAAATTATAGACTGGATTCCTAAGACGTGGCATCATCTCAACAGTTTTTTGGAAACACATAGTTCTTCTGACGTTACCATTGGTGAGTTCCAGAATTACAATATGCCATTCTCCAGGAACAAAGGGTACTTGGTAAAGACGGCCAGATTGGATGGTGGAAAATAACAAGCAAAGCCAATATTTGTCGAGCTTCTAAACATTTAAGTTTACTTTTTTCCCTTCTGAAAGTTTGCTTTCTTCTAGGCTTTGTTTCTGTAATTAGAATTAGATTCATTTTATCAAATGTTCGTAGCTTACAAAAATCTCATATTACTTAGATTACTGATATCAAATAAGTTTAATATAGATAAATATCCAAAAATCAGATGATCATTTGAAATAAACAGTATCTGTCTAGCAATTTTTAGCTCATGGCTCATATCAAATATAGTTGTGAGAGAAGATTTTACTTAATATTTTGTTAAGGAGTCCTGTGGCGCAACTGTTAAGCACTAGGCTGCTATCCAAAAGACTGACTATTCGAACCCACCCAATGGCTCCATGGGAAAAAAGACCCTGGCAATCTGTTCCCATAAATATCACAGCCTAGAAAACCCTATGGGGCAGTTCTACTCTGTCACATTGGGATGCTATGAGTCAAAAATTGACTCAATGGCACCTAACAACAATAGCAATCTTTTTTTCAGGAATAGCAAATTGTTTGAATTATATTTCTTTAATTGACACAAAGATGTTTATTTTTGTATTCCTTCTTAAATTGCTTGTTTAAGACCCTTTCACATCATTATGGATCATACAGATTTACTCAGTAAAGACATCGTGTAGATTAGAAGGAAAAATTCTAAATTTGGGATCAGAAGACCTAGGCTGAGTCCCAATTCTGCAAGTAATAACATATTTTATATTCGACAATTCGTTTCAGCACAGTTTCCTCATTTGTAAAATGGAGCAGGTTTGACTGCATTATGACATTTAAGATTTCTCCTAACTCTAATACGTTGTGCTTTAGATTAAGATTTTCTTGTAAAAAGAAAGAAGGGGCTGGGATATTGGTCTTTAGTAAAATATATGATAATAATAATCAAGCTATTTAAGATTATCGTTTTCTAAAAGTCATGCAAGAATTATATTAAGTCCCCCCAAATAGTGCCTGAATATGTGTTTAGATTGTTAAATATAATGCCTCTCAAAAATGTTTTGTTATTTATTTCTTCTCAGGCCCCCGACTCTTCCTTCCTTGTCCCATGGATGTAGAAGGTTCTAGAGTGTGGTTCATGGATCTCTGGAACTATTCTTTGGTACCTTATATTCTGGAGGCAGTGAGAGAAGGTCTTCAGGTATAGTCTTCAAGGGTCTTTACAACCTTAAAAAATGGAAAAAATAAAACTATTTTTACAGAGCAAAAAATTTCATTTCCCTGAGTATGTCTGCAAAAAAACTAAAGGCATGAATTATATAAATATAGTGCGAATGTAAGAGCAGCTAGTATACAGTACCTTTGCCTATTCTGAATACAGATATATAGGAAAAACAGAAAGCAACGTTATTTCAATCTAAGGCCAAGTTTATTGCCATGGATATTTACGGACTGCTTTATTAGGTAGTCAATTAATTACCTAGTTCTACCTGTTAGGAGACAGCCATGATTTGCATGATTTATCTCATAGCATTAAAGGGCCAAGGACCATGTAAATCATGACTGTCTTGTAAGATGTAGAGCTATGTAATTAATAAGAGTCAGAATCAACTTGATGGCAATGGGTTTGGGTTTTTTTTTTTTTTTTTTTTTGATTTAGCCCTTTATACACTAATCGAATATTTTACAACTAGTAGTTTTTACTTGTAAGTTCCCTGTTTTTAGTACTCTTTATTGTTTAAAGTTTTTAAACATCGCTTGCAAGATCCTTTACTATTTTTGAGTGAGTACTCTAAGTTCTAAAACATTTAGCCGTTTTATCTATGACATGGTAGTTTAACATCATCTCTGCTGTTCCTCTCATCTGTCTTACATTACAAGGCCCTCCAACAGGCCCTTCTGTTTAGTCTTAACTAAAATAATCAAAATACATCATTAATGAGACAAACTTATTTTTTCAACAAGATATATTTTACCTTTTTCATAAATCTTGCTATTTCCTTACACTGAAGTCAAAATTTTAATAAATTATGGAATTATAAAACTAAAGTTGAGTCTTTAAGATTTGTATTGGATAATCACCCAGGTTATTGTGGAAGAATTCAAATCCCCATTTCAATAACTCAGCCAAGGTTTAGTCAGTTTTTGCTTAAGCACCTCTAGTTCTGGTAATAACTGCTATTAGAACTAAGATATAGTCTATGTTTTCTACATTTTTGTCTTCTGCAATGCAATTTTAATTTTTTATTTTACTGTATGTAAAAAAAATGATCATCTGGTTTTCTTCCTGTCACTTCTAGAAAATGTTAATATTCTAGAAAACCTAAGTTTAAAATTAATATTCAAATGAAATATTTTTTTCTCTAGATACGGTCTCAGTGTTAAACTGTCATCAAAGTTGTTATGTATGAAATTCTTCTGAATTCATATTTGTTTGCTAATGTATAGAAAGAAGCTTTTTAAAAAATCCATAAATATAATACAAAGAATGCCTAGCTTTCTCAGTTCTCGTTAAAAAAGCACGAGTTCTTTTTTCTTCATATTTAAATCATTATTTGTAAAACAGTATCCTGAGAATTATAATCTATAAAGCTTCCATTTGGGCAAAAGTATAATCACTTAATTATAATACCAGTTTCCTAAACTAAAATGAGAGATACATCAAAATTACTTTTGAAGAGGCATAAAAATGTCCCACGTTTCTTGCTGTGGTTCTGGAGGTTTAGTAGTAGGTTAATGTGAAAGCTGTGTCAAGTATGATGTACGCATTGTGGGGAAAATCTAGCACATGGGGGAGGAAAGAAAGGAAAGCCTTTTAGTGTATGGACAGTTCTCTTTGCTAGGCCAGAAAAGTCCATTGGCAAAAGGTATTCTTGGATTGGTCCTTACATGCTTTTTGGAGGAGTAGGAGGAAAAGGAAGCACTCGTGCCTTGAACCATCCCATTGGATCCACTGGTAACAAAGAATCTTGGAAGAAGAGGTGGAGAAATTAAGCCCGGCAGCCAAAGTGAAAATCTGAGTTGAGGAGAATAGAAAGATCCCCTTTTAGATGCAGGCTGATGCTTTGGTGAAGAACCATACAGGGAATGCTCTCTGCTACATGTTCTAGTTGGAAAAACACTGATAATGCAATGGATTTTGATTTTTATGCTGGTGATTCTTTCTTGAAATGTCGGCAATCAATGCATCTCATTCTGAATATTTAGATTTCTCTTCCTTTAATTCTTTTTCTATAGTATATATTTACCCTGAGATACAGGATTGAACATATTTAGGTTTTTATTGGTTGCCTCCCATTTTGTTGTTCTTGATGACTCTAAAAATCTGGCATCACTTGATTCTAGGCAATCATATTCTTTTTTTAAACATAGTTAAGCTTTTCAAGAATTTTCCTTCAATTAGATTAAGTTGTATGGCAAATTAAATTTTGATTTTTTGCATCCTCTATAAAACAGATGTTCAACTGAAAGTTTCCACTCTAAAACAAGAGAACTATTTTAAAAAAACAACTAATGATTGCTACCCATGTGATCATCTTATGCATCTCCTGAGAAAATATACAGATACCAGGATCAGGACCCAGACTCCTTTTTTTAGGCAAGGTTTTCACAGCCTCACGTATTCCAACGCTGGTCATAGACCCTTTCACGGCATCAGTGTCACTATTTTGCTTTTGCCTCACCAAACCACAACAAACCACATATTTTCCTCCTCTTTTAATTTTAACTTTTCTTTCTATGCCCTCTGTGGCCTTATGCTTTTCTGTAGAATCTCAGTAACCACTTTGCCCTCAGTGAGCTTGACTTCTACCTTAAAAAGTTTTCAGTATCTCTTGGATTCATCTCCTCTCTACTCTACTGCCAGGAACTATAATGAAACTACATCATCTCTTTTTATTGGGCTTCTTGCCTCCATATGGATCCTTGCAAAGTTTATGTGTCAATTTTCCATTTTCTCCTCTTTTACTAGTAGCCTTATATATAAACATCTAAAAAGAGTTTTTACAGGAAACAATCAGGATTATATAGATATATGAAATAGTTTTTTAAAAAAAACAGGAAGTTAATCTGAATAAAAATGGCTATCAGAGAAAGCATTCTCAAAGAAGTTTAAATAGAGTTAATCAGACAGAGAGAAGAGAAGTCTCTTTTATTCATCATCTTTCAAAAGCATGCTTTAGTAGTGGACGCTACCTATTATCTACCCATTGTCAGCAAGTTGATTCTAACTCATAGTGACCCTATAGGACAGAGTAGAACTGCCCCAGAGGGTTTTCAAGGCTGTAATCTTCACAGAAGTAGACTGCCATATCGTCTCCTATGGAGTGGCTCATGGGTTCAAACTGCTGACTTTTCAGTTTGCAGCTGAGTGCTTAACCACTGTGTCACCAGGGTCCCTACTTATTGTCTAGCATGACTTTTTTCAGTCCTCTATAACTGAAGCTTTTATTCCTCAACCTCAAGTTTCTCTTGGTTTGTAAAATTATTAATAAAGATAAATATGGGCACTCACTTCTATGTTATTTAAAATAAACCCCTCCACCCACTCAAATACTGATCATCTATCCCAAATGTTCATCTTTATTTTGACTAGCCTTCAAGGTTAAGGAAACCCTGGTGGCATAGCGGTTAAAAGCTGCAGCTGCTAACCAAAAGGTCAGCAGTTCAAATCCACCAGCAGCCCCTTGGAAACTCTATTGGGCAGTTCTACTCTGTCCTTTAGGGTTGCTATGAGTCAGAATCGACTCGACGGCAATGGGTAATAGGTAGCAGGTTGAGGTTAAAGTGAGCTACATAGATATGTTTAAAATCTCAAAAATTATTTACCAAAAAAATCAGTTGCCATCAAGTTGATTCTGACTCATGGCCACCCCATGTGTGTCAGAGTAGAACTATGTTCTGCGGGGTTTTTAATGGTTGATTTTTTGGAAGTAGTTCACCAGGCCTTTTTCCAAGGTGCCTCTAGGTGGAACCAAACTGCCAACCTTTTGGTTAGCAGCCAAGTGCTTAACTGTTTGCACGATCCAGGGATGCCTGGGAAATTGTTCAGGGACTCTTAACTCCGTTGAAATTCTGATGAAAACTCAACGTGCAAAGGCATCACTCAATTAGTAGTGGCGTTTTTACTGAATAGAAATGCATTCTATATGTGCTAAATATGCGGTCAACTTTTAGATGTATGGGAAGCGTGCACCGTGGGAAGATCCCTCAAAGTGGGTGCTTGACACGTACCCATGGAGCACAGCATCACTGCCTCAGGAGGGCCCAGCATTGCTTCAGTTGCGACCAGAAGATGTTGGGTATGAGGGCTGCACATCCACTAAGGAAGCCACAACCTCAAAGCACATTCCACAAACTGAAACAGAGGGGGATCCCCTGGTAAGAAGCTGATGTTTATTTTTCCTGTATAATCTTGAGTATAGTGTGTGGTCATTAGTATTCTGTCATTTGTATCAAAGACATTGCTTTCCCAAGGTGATATTTGGGACTGTTCTGATACTGGTACTCAGTTTTAAATCTTTTACCTTTGCCTAATTTTATTGTGTGAAAAGTTTAAACAAAAGACCAAACTTACATGCTTAAAAGTAGTCAAGCAACAGTCTGAAGCCACATTGAATTCTGTGACAGTAATAGGAAAATTCTTCTTATTATTCAGGGAATTGTAGAAAACAATAAATAAATTCATAAAACAACATGACTCAATTCATTAAGTATTTAAAAGAAAATCAAGTTTTGTTCTTAAAGAATGAACAGAGTAATCTAATGAACACTTTGAGAACTAAAGAATATGGTACATGTATTAACTAGTCCAACTAAATGTAGAAGTAGTCTTTGGTTTCTTCCAGTAGTGAAGGAGAAATTGATTTGGAAATCAAAGGGATATACCCTGCCTTGCTCCATTTGCAATAGTGTACGTTTTATTAGTTTTGAATAATCTGAAAATATTAAATATATGGTATTATTGGGAAAAAGAAACTTTATTTTTTATGTATTTACTTTATGTTTGGATTACTTTCTATAGATTGACGTCAGATGCAATGCATTGATTAGCTTACCATTTTATGACTAAAGAGATCGTTGGACTTGTACAACCAATACAGGAAGAAAACATAATGAAATAAAGGTCATTCTGTTACTTAAAACCAAAAAAAGAAAGAAAACTGGGAGGGGGAGGAATGATTAAAAGTCACAACCTATGACTATACTCAGGAATATAAAATGATTTGATGCTTTATGGTACACTCTATGCCATCAGCTTCTACATAGACACATCATCATCATCTAATCTGATCATTATTAACATTGTAGGTGTTACATGTGAAAAATCTGATAAATTTTCAAGATTCTTTCCCCAGCAAAATGTACACACCAGAAAATTGTGCATACTATTACAAGGGTTTCCATGAAGTCACTGAAGTATATACAGAGACTTCCTTGGAGTCCAGAGATTCCCTGTTTAGGACATCTGATCTAGACTGTATACTCCTCAAGGGCCTGGACTTAAATTTTTTAACAGTTGGCACATAGTTAGAAATCAACAGTGGAGGTCTGAATCCAGCATAATTGTGAGCATACACTGAATGATTGCTATTAGAATGGTTGAAAATTAATAGAGTAGATATAAGCCTTAGCACAGAATTATGGATTATTTCATCTCAATTTTTCATAAATCCCAGTCCTACCCCTGCAAACTGTTGATATACTAGTCTTCTTAAGGTGAGGACGGTTGTTTGTAAGGTTAGTTATTTTTGTAACTCTGTAGAGTATGGGATCTTTCAGTGATGCCCCCAGCATTCCCAATTGCCACATTCCTGGTCAGCTAAACCTACTAAGCACCTTTTCCCTGGCTCTAAATACCCTTGTCATTCAGTATGGAAAAGAAATCTAGAGTCTATCTGAATCGGATAGAAAAATTCCTGATTCCTAATCTGCTACTCCACTGAACATCGCAGAAACAAGGGGTAATGATATCTGACATGTTAAATGGTAAACGATTTATCATCAAAAACTCTTTGAATTAGGCATATTCTGATTGAAAAATAAATATTCTTTATCTGCTTTTATCTCTCGGTACTTCTATAATCACTGACATAAGGCAAAAAATATATTTGTAGTCTAAAGTAGAAATCTTAGGGAAAAAATTCCGTATTTAATGTTAGAAATCTGTTTTGTAATCTGAACAGGGTTGCAAGCTTTTAGCACATCTCACATTATTTAAAAAGTATGATGTGTAGATTAATTAATTCAACAAACATTATTAAATATGTACTTAGGGCTAAGACCTGGCAATCAGGAGGTAGATAGGATAACATTTCTGATCTCACAGTAAAGTAGCAGAGAGAGACATGTACCTACATAAACTACAGTAAAATAATGATAGTGGTACATGCTAGGTAAATTTGTGAGTCAGTTGAGGAAATGATTAAGACAAAACCTTAAAGAGTAGGTGATTCTTCAACTGGGTCTTGAAGGATGAATAGTAGTTCATCCTGTGATTGGATGGAGAACATCCAAATTTAAGGAAACAGCAAGTGAAACATTATGGAAGACTATAATCAAATGATTAGTTTAGGGAGAATATATATATGTTGGAACACAAGTGATGGAGGAGTTGAAGCTACAGAAGTCTACAATTGCTAGATCATGTCAAGCCTTGTTTATCCTTGTGGGACGTTAAAACTTTATCACACAAATAATGGGAGTCACCAGATGTTTTTGAGAAGGGGGTTTATCTAGTTAAATTTGCAGTTTATAAAGATCAATTTGGACAAATTGGAAGAGAGGGGATGGAGTCTGGGAGACTAATAGACTTGTAAATACCAGAAATGATAAAGAGCTGACTAAATTGATGATAGAGATTATATTTATCAGTGTGGGTGTAAGGATGAAGCAGGAGAGAAGGGAGGAGGGAAATGCTTTCGTAAAGGAGTATTATCTATTACATTGACTCTTTTTACTTGTCTTCTCATTTTACTTAAAGGCACAAAGCAATACTATGAGAAGGCAAAGTATTCAATTATATGTATTTATTAAGAATCTGGTGGCACAGTGGTTAAGAGCTTGGCTGCTAACCAAAAGGTTGGCAGTTCGAATCCACCAGCTCCTTGGAAACCCTATGGGGCTGTTCTACTCTGTCCTGTAGGATCTCTTTGAGTCAGAATGGACTCAACGGCAATGGGTTTGTTTTTTTGTTTTTTGTTTTTGTTTTTATTAAGAATCTAAGATTTGGAACTTATTGTAATGGAACATATCTATAATATGGCACTATTTTAAAGAAAATAAGAATTTCACCATACTTATTCAGTCTGTATGCTGAGCAAATAATCCGAGAAGCTGGACTATATGAAGAATGTGGCATCAGGATTGGAGGAAGACACATGAACAGCCTGCGTTATGCAGATGACACAACCTTGCTTGCTAAAAGTGAAGAAGACTTGAAGCACTTGCTGATGAAGATCAAAGACTACAACCTTCGTTCAGTATGGATTACACTTCAGCATGAAGAGAACAAAAATCCTCACAACTGGACCAGTAAGCAATATCATAATAAACAGAAAAAATACTGAAGTTGTTGAGGATTTCATTTTACTTGGATCCACAATCTACACCCATGGAAGCAGCAGTCAGAAAATCAAAAGATGTATTTCTTTGGGCAAATCTGCTGCAAAAGATCTCTTTAAAATGTTAAAATCAAAGATGTCACTTTGAGGACTAAGGTGCAACTCACCCATCCCCAAAACAAACAAAAAACAAACCCGTTGCTGTCGAGTCAATCCAACTCATAGCAACCCTGTAAGACAGAGTAGAACTGCACCATAGGGTTTCCAAGGAGCAGCTGGTGAATTGGAACTTCAGATCTTTCAGTTAGCAGCTGTAGCTCTCAATCACTGCACCACCAGGTCTGCTGTATAGGGTCGCTATGAGTCGAAATCCACTCGATTGCAACGGCCGCCTGACCCAAGCCTTGGTATTTTCAGCCGCCTCATATGCATGCAAAAGCTTTAAAATGAATAAGGAAGACCGAAGAAGAATTGTTACCTTTGAATTATGGTGTCGGTGAAGAATATTGAATTTACCATGGACTGCCAGAAAAATGAACAAATTTGTCTTGGAAGAAGTACAGCCAGAATGCTACTTAAAAGAGTAGATGGCAAGACTTCATGTCAGGTACTTGGGACATGTTAGCAGGAGTGACCAGTCCCTGGAGAAGGACATAGTAAAGTAGAGGGTCAGTGAAAAGGAGAAAAACCCTCAAGGAGATAGATTGACACAGTGGCCACAACATGGGCTCAAACAGCAAAGATTGTGAGGATGACGCAGGACTGGGCAGTGTTTCGTTCTGTTGTATATAGGATCGCTGTAAGTTGGAACTGACCTGATGGCCCCTAACAACAACAACATTTTTACACCACAAAACTTACAAAATTCGACAATCAAGTGATTTAACATATTTGTGACTAAGATGGAATTCTAAATCCTTAAACAGACCTCATTTACCATTTCTACTCTTAGAAAATCAGGAGTGTTTTAAAAATTATAGCTTTGTGTTTCAAAATCATTTTCACCCACGTGCTGGAATACACGGCTAGCCATTAAGAGAGAGGGAGGGATAGCCAAAAGAAAGGAGGGAGGGAATATAAATGCACTGCAGAATGTTTGTGTATGTGTGTGCATGCAAACGTGTGTGTGTTACAGAGAGTGAGAGAGGAGACAGAAAGAGACTGGGTGTCCATGGAGATATTTGGCTTACTGCGTTTCAGAGTTTATTACCAACCACTTCTGTATCCATATGTAGACAATTTAATAAATTCCAAGTATTTGACCAAAACTTATATTGAAAAATATTGTCCTGAATAACATTAAAATAACTTTAAAATAGGCTATCACTATAGCCTCTTTGTCAGAAAACCATTCTTGCTGAAGCTAGTGCTTGACAGTTTACCATTCATTTCACAAGCATTTATTAAACACACATTTTACCCACACAAGCACACAACATGCATACCTTTACATACAAGCAAGCAATCCTAACAGAATCTTTATTTCTCTAAGTTGGAAAAGAAAAGACAACTTGGGTTTCTTTATGAAATAATAAAATTAGTATGTATTAAATGATACAGATTATTACAATTTATAGAAACACTTGATAAAGAAACAGCTCCACTACCCTCATGAAGATACAAGCTGATTTTTCTGTGCTTTCTAAAATTGTTGGGCAATTTATCCACAATTGTTTTTAAACAATCTTTTGGGTTTTTTTTTAACTTCCCTCTCTGACAGTGAAGCTGAAGATTCATCAAAATCTAAGCAATGTGACTGTATTTTATTTAATAATACATAGAAATACTTGCTGCCTTTCTCCCCAGGTGCTTTCCCGCACACGTCCCTTTTACTAGAACAAATATTACCATTCTCCTAGAAGGCTGGGAAACTTGGACAGCTGCTATTGTTCCAGAAGGTGGTTTTTGTTTTCAGTGATATATCAATCATATTTTAGCCAGAAATTCAACAACAAAAACTTGACAGTGATTCTTCCCTTCTCCCTCTTCAGACACTCACGGTCTGCTTTATTCAGTCACCTCCTCTCGAGGTCAACTCCTAAACAGCAGATGGTATGCTTGTGTGCAGCAGCTGGCTTCATTCCATTCCATCCCCTCCGTCTCTCAAGGGACTGTGCGTGTGCGCGCCTGTGCGCGCATCTGTGTGTGTATGAACATTCACGACTTTCAGTTGCCATTCAATGCTTTCTGCTTCTAGCAGCCAAAAAGCTGGGAAGCTTGGCATACTCTCCAGCAGCTAGCCCAGATGTCCAGCTGTGATACAGTTTCCTTTCCAGTCTCCCTGCTGGAGCAGTATTCATTCACAACCCCAAATAAAAGAGTTATCTAGAGGCCCTATTTTGTCCTTATGGTTTGGTGTGTTAGTCATGTCTGGGAGAAACTGTGTAGGAGCCAGGGGCAATGAGTGAGAATCTAAAGTTGTTTTGCCGTTTTCACTTGGATGGGATGAGATGTTCCTCCGTGTGGCTCAGGGCCTTGTTTTTTTTTATGAGATGAGCTTTACTCAATGCATCACTGCCTACATCGATGTCTCTTTTTCTTTCTTCAGATGAATATGCTAATGAAACTCCAAGAAGCAGCCAATTACTCGGGCACACAAAGCTGCGACAGTGATAGCGCCAGCCACCATGAAGACATTTTGGATTCATCTCTTGAATCTACCCTCTAGAGGGTGAAAAAAGTTAGGGGAAAAGACTATGCTTTTTTTTTTTTTTTTTAAAAAAAAAGAAACTGTTTAAAAAGTAAGGTATTTTCACTAAACCACTGCCAGTATGAAAGCACCCTGTCAAGGCCCCTGACTCAGAGTCACGATCTACAAGGAGGCAGGAGAACTAAGTCTGAACTGCCAAGATGCTAAATTGAAATGGAAGCTTACCTTGGTTTTATTTCTAGCCATTTTTATATCCACAGAGTGATATAAGACCCCACTACTCGACTGGAAAGGGTTCTAATGACAGGGCAACTGAATAGATTGCACATGGGATAGCCAAACTGGAATTTATTTTTTCCTCTTTAAAAGTTTACAATGCAGGCCTTTTTTTTTTTTTTTTTTTTTTTTTCGGTCCCTACCTTTTGTTTCCTCTGGGGGGCTGTACTCCCCATGCAGGGTCCATTTTTCTGATCCACTCAACCTCCTTTGTGCCACATGGTGCTGGTCACAGGGTTCCAGTAGTGTTTGTGTTGTACGCTCCCCCCATTCCACAATGAATGCAAGAGGCCCGTCCTCCATAAGCACAAATGGAATTGTGCAACTACCAGAATACACTACTGTGACAAGCTGGATAAGTGCCAATTTAATTCTTAACTGCCATGTTCACTTGATGTGCTCCACCAACTTTTTTGTGTATGAGTCACAGGTTTTATAAGGTTGTTTTTACCACGGTGGTCTTTTTAAACCACCTGCCCACACCCTTACCAAGAGTTTTATACCAATTATTAGTCAACACTGACAAAAGGCTTTTTTAGGGCTTTCTTTGTTTGAGCCTTTTCAGTGAAAGAAGGAACATTTCCTATGGTGCTGTCTCACTGCCTTAAACCAGATTTCTACAACAATTTAACAGTTGTTATAAATCCTAAACCATTGATAATTTCCACTGTCTTTTCATTTACAAACAAGCGACATCAGTTAACACAGTAGCCTCATCTCTGTATATCTTTTTGTTTGTTTGTTTTTGAAGAAATGGATAGGAGAAAGATCAGCATTTTTACCTTGTGAATAGATTGCTTTGCCTATCCTCCAAAATATTCCAATAACTCAGAAACCCACTTTGACCGTCACTTCAAAGCTGAGACATGTGGCTAAATTCCATCCAGTTCTAGATGAGAGAGTTTCAGAAGGCGGGGGATTTTAAATCCTTATCCAGCCGAACTGGAAGTACCAGATGCAGCCTGAGCACAGCTATTCGGCTTTCCTTCCCTATTCTTTTTTTTTTTTTTTTTTAAATAGTTTTGATGCATGTTGTTTTGATTGCTGTTGTTGTACATGAGAAATTCAGCATTAAAGAACACTGAAGCAGTGAAGTCACTGTGGAAGACAAAGCGTTTATACTGTAAAAGAAGGTTAGATTTGCACAGTCTACTGGGTGGGTATTGTAAATAATACTTTTTAAAACTTGCACAAATCAAAAGACACACACAAATAATGTATTTTATCCTGTTGGTGTTAATGAGGTATTTCACTTGCTGAGATTTCCTGTACGTTGCAAATACAGAATGCAAACCCTCAAAGCTGTTATTATCTGGTGTGTTTGTCCCGTATTTACAGTTGTTATGACTATGCAGGAGCTATCAGTGCTAGAGTGAGCATGCTTCGAAACTGTACATGAAGCCAATACATTTTTGGAAAAGTAAAACTGTCTGATAGTGCATCTGTCATGGCGGCTTTAAAGAGAGTGCATGAAAACTGATCAGAGTCATTGGAGAAGTTACCACCACACACAGAGGACAGGTTTTAAACTTATAAAACCCAAGGGCTAGGCCATGGTGTAGACTCGTTCTATGCATGTGAAAATGTGCTACCTTTAGGACGCGTAATTGGTGCTACTCTCTGTGACCATTATGGGTCAGTTACTATAGAACACCACCACCACAAGATGGCTGTGCAGTTTTCAGAGTGTCACTGAGTCTAGAGGTTCTTATACGGTGCTATTGCCCTAGGGAAATCCAAACTGAATTTATGCACATAGAATTGTCACCCTGACTTTGAAGCCTCAAACATGGATCAAATCTGTTGTGAAACATCGATATATGTAGCTGGATGAGTGACTAGTTGCCCTTGTATAATATGTGATCTAAAAAATTGCTAATCTCTCTCTGCCATTTTGAAAAACACAATCCAAACATGAGCATAAACAGAACCTCCTGCAATACATCCCAGTAGGTCCACCTAGTTTACAACTTAAACTAGTTTGTGAAACATTTGTCTGTAAACATTTTATATTTTGTACATTTTTGATGTAACATATCATGTAAATAGACAGAAACAGTGAAATAAATCATCTGAAGAGTTTTGTAGTCTTTGTAAAGCCCCAACAATAAGTACTTGGTGTCAATGGACTTACCTGGATGATGTATTTTCTATTGGTTTATTGTTCCTCTAGCTTGCAAACCAGCTTGCATATATTTTTTTGCAAATGTGCACCCTGTATCTGTCTAAATTATTACTTTGCCATTAAAGTGGAATTATTTATTGAAAACAAGTTGTGGAGTCTATATATGGAGAAAAATTGAGCAATTATACACCAAGAAGTGTCAAACGTTAAACATGGTTTGCACTAGTAATATATTATCAGTAGGGATGTGAATTTATATTTTATATACATCATAAAAAAAGGAGTATCATAACTTTCAAGTAAATAAATAAACTTAAGTCAATTGTTGTTGTTAGGTGCCGTCGAGTTGGTTCCGACTCATAGCGACCCGATGTACAAAAGAGCAAAACACTGCTCGGTCCTGTGTCGTCCTCAACAATTGTAGCTTAAGTCAGTAGGTATATCTTTAAAATCTGAATAGCCTGCTTAAATGCCTGATTATAAGTTAAGAATTAATATAAAGTAAAATGTTGATATTCAGTGAGTTGAATCGAGTCATTAAATGTTTCTTTGTTTTTATTGTATAAAGTCTTTTTTGACCTTTTAGCGCTAAAGATGAATTTAAAGCAGAATCACTCCTTCGGTGTTTTTTTGTTTGTTTTATTTTTTTATAGAGGAGATTAGGGGAAAAAAAAGCAAAAACAAGGAACACCTTTTGGAGTTAGAATTTTTTTTTAAGTACATTGGGCATCTCGTCAACCTCAGTAATTTGAATGTATATTTGTTTGCTATAAATAGGGTTTTAATACTAAAAGCAGGTTTTAATTTTAACAGCAGGAAAATAAAACAGTTGAAAAGCAAAAAAGGGTATTAGTTAAAATGAACTGGTTATCAATAATGAATTAAAATTGCTGCATTTTTTCCTTCATTCACAGTTTGGAAGATGCAGAAAATTTCCACAATTTAGTTTGTCCATATAAACTTTGAATTAATACATAACTTGAATACAATTCTGACACATGCAGTATCAACTTGTATGAGTGTGAATCCTAATTCACACTTCTTTCTGTGTGACCTTGTCCAATTTACTCAAACTCCATGTACCTCATTCCCTCACCTATAAAATGATGATAATAGTAGTATCTACCTCTCACGGACTGCTGTTAGGATCAATGAGTTATTACATACAAATGCTTTGAATAATGCCTAGCGCTTACAAAGCCTTCCATAAAATTTAGCTGCTTTAACAACCATCTTATTATAAGATAATAATTATAAAATAACTATTCTTTTTTCAAGCATTCTTGAGAACAATGTGTAAAGAAATCCAACTTTTTTTTAGAAGACAGATATCTTTTAAGAACGTATCCCTTAATCCAATTTCCTTATCTGTAAAATGCAGACAGTAATAGTACCTACCTAGAAGGGCTGTTGGGAGGATTGAGATTAGGTGTTTAAAGCACTTAGAAAATTGCCTATGACTCAGGAAACTTTCAATAAAAGTAAACTGCTGTATTAACTCAGCCATTATAATAAATTAGTAACATTAGTAGTTTACAAATATTCTTAAGATTCAGTATGTAAATATATTTAGTCTAATAACCCATTGCTGTTGATTTGATTCCAACTCATAGTGACCCTATAAGACAGAGTAGAACTGCTCCATAGGATTTCCAAGGAGCTATTGGTGGATTCAAACTGCTGACCTTTTGGTTAGCAGCTGTACTCTTAACCACTATGCCACCAGGGTTTCCAGTCTAATAGTAGAGTCTTATTAAAGGTATATCTTTCAATCAGTTTCCTCATCTTTAAAATGGGATAATTATAGTATCTAGTCAGATCACTTGGAAGACTGAATGTTTTAAAATATTTAAAGCACTCAGAAAATTGGCACATCTTAAGTGCTATATAAGTATTAGCTATTATTATTATTCAACAAAAATTTATTATACAACAAATATGTGCCAGGCCAGACAGCTTTGTTAGGCATTAGAGGCATAGAGACGCAGGCCATTTTTCCCAAGGGACTTTTAGTTAGTAGAATTGGATCGCCATCCTCTTTGCATACTTTGATGGGTACCTAAAGTCGCTACTGTAAGGGTGGCCACTGAGAAGTTCACTGCAGAGTCCACTGAATGGTTGCTATAGGATATGTTTTCAGATGTGGATAGGATCAAGGATACTGGTGAATTACATTTGAATTAGGAGAAATTCAAATACTTTTATTTCAGGCTTTGGGGTTTTTACACTAAAAAATTTACTTTTATAAGAAATGGGCTACCTTAAAAAGTGCCCAATTCTGTGTTTTGATCAGTTAAGATGCTTAAAAAAGCAGCTTCAATGGAGTTTTTTATTTAATTTTGCCTTTTTTTGTTCTGCATCTGGTAATAGATAAAATCTTGTATTTCTGAATTCTATACATAAATAAATATATATAATTTTAGTTCTGTAAAAATGATTTGTATAAGTAAGCATTAGAGGATCTCCTCTCCACATGAAGTATACATTATCTCTCCAGTTACCCAGCAGCTCACCAGTAAGAAAACATATTCATAGAAAATAAACATAGATAGCACATTATAAATTAGAATCTAATTAGAGGAAATGAAAGTTCTTAAGTTGTTTGTTTTATAGGATATTGGATATTTTTTATAAAAAATGAAATTGTAAAAAAATAAATCTTTATCGTCGGAAATTTTGACACCTGAATATTCTAGAAAGGCAGGATGGAGTTGAAGCTGACGAACAACTAAGTATTTTTGGATTTGCAAATCCAAACATGACTTGGAATTTGGGAAACCTTTAGTCATCAGAACTTCTCCACAAAATCCTGGTGGCCAGAATAGTATTATTCTAATCAAATAGTAATTCAATTTGAAAGTTGAACATTATTAAAGTTGCTTCTTTTCATATTTTAATTTATAAACGTCTAATGTTCTATAGAATAAAGCAGACAATTTTAAAAACTCTTCCTTTAAACCTTTGAAAATATTCTACCTTCTGCTATTTTGATGGAAACATCATAAAATATCAATTTTTTCTTACTAAGGACTAGAAAAATAGTATTACTTTGATCACAGTGTTACCATAAACTATCTCTTTGTATTTATTGCCTTATCTTTATATTTTTATAACTTTTTTTCCCATCTTAAGAAAAATTTTATGTAAGAATATATCCTAATTATTTGTTACTATATACTATCCTAATAATATGTTCACTTACTGTATTGAATCGACGGCAATCGGTTTTTTTTTGTTTTGTTTTTTTTTAATGGTATACCAAGAGCTTATGATATCTCTGGGAAAAGAAGAGAGATGAGCAATAGATGACAGTATAGTATCTTTAAAGATAGTGTAGGGAATTGACCATTTCTAGCCTGAATGCTGATTAAGGGCTCAATATCAACTGGGAGGGCAAGTTTCCAGTAGCTTGCATAAAGCCGTTCTTGTCAAATACAGAAATAAGGCAGTCTTGCAAAGGGACAGTTGTTTATAGATAACCTTCAATTTATCTATCTGTCTATTCTATTCTCTCATTTTATCTATCATTAATCATCTATCTATAATGCACTCAAATGAGGCTTTGGAAAAAACTCTCCAAGGAAGGAATAAAACCAGCTTTCTCTTATAAGATTGTATTTCCATTTGTTAAAATTTAAAATTCTTCATGGAAGTTTACAGTTCAGTGCCCAACCCTTAACTCATTGACAGCAGTTAGTGTAGTAGTTTCCCAAAGACAGAAATTTCAAAACAGACAGAGGAAAATAGACACAACTGTGTCAAATAAGCTGTTACAAACTCAAAAAAAAAAAAAAAAAATTGCCATCAAGTAAAGTCCAACTCATAGTGACCCTACAGGACGGAGTAGAACTGCCATACAGGGTTTCTGAGGAGTGGCTGGTGGATTTGAACTGTCAACCTTTTGGTTAGCAGCTGACCTCTTAACCACAGTGCCACCAGGGCTCCGTTACAAACTTAGAGATACTTAAATAAGTGAAATATCCAAAACAAGACAGGTAATCCTCCCACTTCAGCCTGCAAAGCTCATATTACTCCAGGAGGGTTGTGTTCCATTCTGGATTTGCAATGAAAGGGCATTGAGCAAATGGAGAACAGACCATGAGGCCAGACCCTTGCCACCTCCTAATAACCTTTGGTAATTGGCATAAGTTTTCCTAGCCTCAACCTCTCTCTTCGTTTTGATGATAACACATTCTACCTTTGGGGACTCTCAGGTGATTTAAAGGCAAAAATGTTTTAAATATGTTTCATAAATAAAGCAGCAGAGACCTATCAATATATACATGTGTTCATACATTTTTAATCTAAATGCCTACCTTGGAAAAGTGTACCTATCAATACATACATGTGTTCATACATTCTTAATCTAAATGCCTACCTTGGATAAGTGTACCAGGAAAGGTCACAAAAATCATATTTGTACTATTACCTTAAATCCTGCTTGAAAAAAAAATGATGAAGGGGATTTGTGAATTAATAACAAGACTGTAAGGGAATTAAGATTCTCAAAAGGGGTCGGGGGGGGGGGGGCAAAGACAACCTGAGGAAATACTGCTCTTAAAATGCAGAGTTTATGAGATTTAAAAAACAAAGAATATGTGGCCCAAATTAGGGTCATGTCTGACAATTAAGTGTAACATCTTCCTTTGTTTATTCAACAAATATGTATGGAACATCTAGTATGTGCCAAGTACTGTCCTAGATTATAGAGTGCACTGAAGAACAAGATCCTTGGTCCTTGCCCTCAGAGGCTTACAATCTGGTAATAAAACAAATAGTTAAGCTAAAGAGAGGTGACATGATAGTAAAAACATAGCATGCCATGGAAATACGGAGAAGAACCTATAACCCAGGAGGCTTCCTGGTAGAACTGATATGTAAACCCAAACCTGTTAAATTATTTAAAGTTTTTGAAACATCCCAAATGTCTTGTTTTGTACATGCTGTTTTGGTTCTTTTAAAACAAGTAATAGGCAGACATTGTGGAATACTTGGAAAGAAATCAAGAAATTTAACGCTTTCTTCATTCTCTACGCAAAACAATAATGATTGACTTCAGATATTACCAACATTAGTAGACAACTTTTTTTAAAAGTACAAGCAGTTTTAAATGCCCATTTTTTTTTTTCATATTGCAACGTGGGGGG